GCGGGGGGGGGGGGGGAGGGGGGGAGCGCGTTTATAATAAACAGTCGAATTGATAGGCTTGTATACGACAGAGGGACAACGAATGAACGGCGCGGGAAGTTTGACGATCGACTCGTAAAAGGTCGATTAACGAGGAGATAAATGCCGCGTGTAGGAGGAGCAAAAAAGGGCGAAATGACGGGGGGCTTCCTTGAAGATGATGCGAGATAGCGGTGCTCGGGGGCTCTTATCCGTTCATGCGAATCCGGCGCATCACTACCTGCTCCCGCGATTATCGACTGATTATCGTGCCGGAAGGTAAGAGCCCTTGCATACATCGTCATCGGCGCGCTCACCTCTTTCTCGCATTCGCAGCTGCTTCGTTTCTTTTCTTCCCCGTCGAGCGGCGTGGGTCCCCCAGGAAGGGAGGAACGAGTCGGTGGTGCGATGCCGCTAACTATAAACGAGTTTATGCTGGCACTCGTAGAGGTCCGCTTCGATCGCGCCACTCAGCCGAGGACTTTGACGATCTCCTCTACGTAAATAATGATGGGGTTTAGTGCGGGAAAGGCGATTTATCGTAGGGGGCGAGTTGTGATCGAGATCTCTCGATGCGTGTTGTTTGATGTATACGCGGCTGAATCCGTACTTCCCAGTTGCTTAAGAGTATTAGGGGCATTTTCTATTAGTTCATTAGGATTATTAAAGTCTTATCTTTGCCGGTCGATGGGGCCGATCTCGTCGAATCAGCTCGCTTTTACGAAGGATCAGCTTCGAGCAATTAATGACCTTACTTCGCGAAGATCATGCGATATGCTTAGGAGAGCCGAAGAATGAGATTGGCAAGTCGCCAACTAGGGTGCTAAAACCGTAACAAAATATATCTTTTGCGACTGCACGGTGGCGATTCCAATGTAACCAGCATACTTTTCATTCCTTCTCCTCTTCTTCGCTTTTAATACATCGAATGGCCATTTTGTAGGTCAAGATTTAAGTGATTTTTGCGTATTTGCGCATCTTATGCAACGGCCCTAAGATTGGAATCTCTTGTCGAGCAATAAATATTAACGAATAATAGGCGTTTACGTGTCAAATTATTAGCCATACATTAAGTCAGTTTAATCAATTGCTATAACCGTTGGAGATACTACGTTCGACAATTTTCAAGGGATGTGATTGCTAATTTTAACGATCGTAGGATTAAACAATTGTAAAAAGGCCTTTAATCACGCGTGCCATCTCTCACTCTCTGTCATCTTATTTGCAGCTCGTCGTGGAGTCGGCCTCGCAGGCCCAAGAGTACGGGGACCTGGAGATCGACCGCAAGTCCCCCGTCAATCCTGATCTGCTCTTCGATACTCAGCATCAGATGCACCTTTACGTAATGACCGAGCGTCAGATCGCGAAGGTTAAGGTGCAGGAGTGCTCGGTCTACAAGACCTGCTGGGAGTGCCTGAACGCGAAGGACCCCTACTGCGGCTGGTGCTCGCTCGAGAACAAATGTAGCCTGAGAAGCGACTGCCAAGACGCCGCCAAGGATCCGCTTTACTGGATATCCTACAAGAGCGGCCGCTGCACGACCATTACCAGCGTCAATCCCGACCAATTGCAGAGGACCACGGCGAGGACCCTCGAGTTGGCCATTGAAAATCTGCCGACACTGCCCGGGCAGTTCTTGTGTGCCTTCTCGGCCCTCGATAAGACGCTCATTACCAATGCCACCCGGTGAGAACTTTTTCTCCGTTTATCACACTCGGCTCGTAAAATCCCCCCCCCTCTCTCTCTCTCTCTCTCTCACTCCCTGCCCATCACCTCCTCCCCTCATCACAATCCCCATCCCCATCACCATCCACTCCCCACCACTCACCCTTTTTGATTCACTAATCGTCGGATAATTTGCATAATTTCGGCAAGTTTCTTCATCGTAAACCGCGAGTTTTTCCATCATTGCCCTATCGGTGGAGCGATAAAGTCGCAGCCTCCGTATAAAGTACATTCGAAACGACGAGTTTGGTTTTTTAGTGCCAATTATGTTGGCCATTCGTTGCCGATCGAGCAAAGACGAGCAAAGAGCGACGATTCTTCGCGTACTCGACTCGCCTGCGGATGGATTTCGGAACGTTTGGAAGGTAATCGTTGTTGCGACCTCGGCACCGCTCGAATAATCACTCATCATTATTACAATTATATATCCCATTGATAATTGCCTCTATAAATAGGAGTCTTCGGCATAATAGACTTTTTAAAAATGGTAGAGGAACGCGATTGACGCGGTCGTTTTATTAATGGCCGAGCTCGACATGCGATCGCGTTGATAATTGGATTCTAATGATGACTCGCTCGCCTTTTGTGGCTGCGAGCGCCCGCGACAAATAACCAATCGCTGTACACGCATATTATTAAAAATATATGGAATTACATGGAATTGATCGGCTGTCTCCTTTAGGAAAACGTACGGAGTGAATTGCACGACGCCACGGACGGATCTCCTGCCTCCAATTCCACCGGGGCAGCATCACTTTACAGCCAAATTATCCGTTAGAATGACCAACGGGCCGGATCTCGTTGCCACGGACTTCACCTTCTTCGATTGCAGCACGCACAGCTCCTGCACGCAATGCGTCTCCTCTAATTTCCCTTGTGACTGGTGCGTCGATGGCCATAGATGCACTCACGATACGGCCGAAAACTGTCGCAACGATATTCTCGTCACTGGCGTTAGCGTGAGTATTGCGTCCCTTTAAATACTTTTGCCTCCCTCTCTTTTTTATCTACATAATTATTTATTCAAGATGTTTAATCGATGCGAGCTCGATTTTTTCCCATCAAATCTATATGTTTTGACATCGGTAACGACGGTATATCACGTTAATGATAATAACGTCTGTAATTCGAATTCCAAAGGCTTTTTCAATGGAGCCTGAAGGAGATATTTTCTTTGGTATTACGGGTGGTGAATCGCCTTACCGAGAAATTCTTTGAAATTCGGTTTGCACAAAAATTGTTGGTTCTTATTTTTCTTTTTTATCTTTTTCTTTTTTTTTTTTTTTTTTTTTTTTTTTTTTTTTTTTTTTTTTAATTATTATTTCTTTACAAAGCAATTCCTCGCACTTAATACTTGCTTGAATATCAATGTATTAATGGTCGATATGTCTATGACAAACGACAATTGGGATATATCTTGTGTATTAAGATAATCAAATCAATTGTACCATTATTGTTATTCTTATAAATTAGAATAATCTTAGTTACATGTGTATATATATATATATATATATATTGGCATGTGGCTAATAAATATCAATGTAAGTAATAAATTGACATTAGGATCGATACTCCGGATAATTGGTATTTTGGATAATCGTCACGACCAAATTAACGATATAATATAATTTAACATTTGGATAATATATTCGCGGTGAGCGTCACGCGTACGAAAATCATCATTTACATTTAAACGCTTAAAGTGATCGTTCCGATACGTTTTCCAATAATTGAGCATAATCGTGCGTTACATAAGCCCAAATTATCCGATAAATTTAACTTTTAAATTTTACCATCGGCGACATAAATCTCCGGCTTCGTATCAAAACCAAAAATTTGATTTATACGGGCAATCTCCCGAATACACGCGCACGCCAAATTTCCTTTAGCCGCGCGAAACAGTTGATTCGTAAAATTCGGGGAGGTCGTAAACTCTGCTACGAGTGCTCGAAGAATGCGCTCGATCCCCGCTCATGCGTGTAAAAGCCTCTTTTCTCTCCTGGGGACCCCGTGGTCTACGGGATAGGATACCAATCGCTCGCTACCATCTCTATTGCCAATTACAACAATAAAAACAAAACAAAAAAACAAAACAAAAAAAAACAAAAACAAAAACAAAACAAAAAAACAAAAACAAAACAAAACAACAACTAAAAATTGAACAAAAAATTAAAGAGAATGAAGAAAATATCGATGACTCATTACAGAGAATGGGCCCGAGCTATAGAAGCGGTCCGGCTTTCTGTCCGACGATCAACGCCACGGATTCTAAGGAAATCCTTGTGTCTTCGGGCATCAAGAAGACCATACGCGTCAAGGTCCACATCATTGGGGTGAGTTAATTTTCATTATTATTACTCGTAATGTCGTTATAATGTACTTTGTTGGGATGCTTTGCAATAGTCACGGGCTTGGTTGTGGACCGAAATGTCGAAATGTGACAAGTCACGAAGCGCGCGCGTAAGAAATCGTTACGCACGGGTCTTTATAATTTACAAGAGTGCGATTATTTCGCATACCCGCGCACCTTATACATTAACGGCATCGCTTTACGCGCTATAATAAATTCCACTCGGCGTAGCAATAAATATCTATAAAACGTGAATATCGGATTCGAATTAATGCTTATTCACGCTAACAGAAATGCCCGAGCGGCGGATATCGCTTAGGCGAGTAATCCGGCGCGCGTTTATACCGACTGAAACACGGATGGCTTTGAAAATAGGAATAATTAAGCTCGTGCGTCATATATGAATTGTGCCTATTAAATGATGAAGAAAACTCAATGACTTATGGCCGATTATGGGCCACCTTAGCCGCTGACTAATAAAAATGCATCGACGAAGGAGCGCGCGAGAGACAAAAATCAAAGTGATAAATTCGACGACACGGACTTTATTTTAAACTCACCTATAATCCTCAACCCCCTCCCACCCCCCACCCCCCTCTCTTTCTCTGTCTGTTCACAGCAATTCATCATTCAGACTCGCTTCGTCTGTCAGTTCAACATCGAAGGCCGTGTGACCAGCGTAAATGCACGTCTCCTCGCCGACACGATCTACTGCGACGACACCGAGTTCTCCTACACGTCCAGGGCGCCCAACATCACCGTGCCCTTCGCCGTCATCTGGGGTGGCTCCAAGCCCCTCGACAATCCCGATAATATTCACGTTGTCATCTATAGGTGATTATGCATTTTACATTTTTGTTTTTTGTTTCTTTATTTGTTTGTTTGTTTGTTTGTTTGTTTGTTTGTTTGTTTATTTGTTTATTTGTTTGTTTTTTTTTTTTATTATTAGTCTCGAACAAACCAGATACTGATACTAGGAGATATTAGTTTTTCGATCGTTTTTCATCTATTTTTATCGCTAATCTATATCCTGCTCTTTGCCATTAATTTTAAACAACATATTTTATCATATTTTCCTAATAATCGCATATTGCAGTTTTTTTTTAATTTAATGCACTAATTTGTTCCTTGCGAGCTCGTAATCCGCTACTTTCAGATTACACGTATTTATTTAAAATGCATGCGCTCGTTGGAAGGAAGATTTTTGGAACACCAGTACAGATTGATCTTCTAGTATTTAATAAATACTGCAATTAATTATAATATCATCAATTATAATGTTTCATAAAATCATTTCGAAATGTGATACGCGCGCACAGAGGCTTTACAATAATAAGTTTTAATACTAATTAAAATCAGCGTCCGAAGTTCACGAGCCGAGTAAAAAGATTCTTTTATTAATCCAATTAGGTTAAATACAATACTTGCAATAGTGCAATAATGCACTCCCCGCTTATGACGATATAATCGCAAAATTTACTTCCTCCCATCAATACGCCCTATAACTAACAAAAACGAAAACGAAAACGAAGCTGATGGTGTCGGCCGTAAATTTATTCGATTATCGATAACTATAATAGTAGTAGTAGTAGTAGTAGTAGTAGTAGTAGTAGTAGTAGTAGTAGTAGTAGTAGTAGTAGTAGTAGTAGTAGTAGTAGTAGTAGTAGTAGTAGTAGTAGTAGTAGTAGTAATAATAATAATAATAATAATAACAACAACAACAACAAAACAACAACAACAACAATCGTCGTCATCATTATAATTATAATTATCATTATCATTATCATTATCATTATCGTGTAATCATTATTATTATCAATGAATAAACCGCATCATATGCTTCATAATTCGCAAAACAATAAACAGATGCCGCGACATGGCGGATAATTGCGGAATATGTTTGGCCCTCGCCGAGAAGTACGGCTGCGGCTGGTGTATGACCTCGGATCGCTGCGAAGTTAAGGACCAATGCGACAAGGGCAGCGGCACGTGGCTCGATCGCAATCAGACCTGCCCGAACCCTGAGATTCTCAAGTTCGAGCCGATGATGGGCCCATGGGAGGGCCACACCAACATCACCATCACCGGCATCAATCTCGGAAAGACGTTCAAGGACATTTATCAGGGAGTCACTGTCGTCGGACTTACCTGTCAGCCGTACGAGGAACTCTACATACGTACCAAACAAATTGTCTGTAACGTCGATGGGCCTGGCGATAAAAATGTAACTCTTACTTTGTCTTATCGTTTTAATTTTCTTACTTAACTTAGCCTCGGCCTTACAGTCGTAACCTTCTATTTTCTTATCGAGAACTCCTTTACTCAAGTGTATCAATGCACCCTTGATGCGATGATAATTTACGTCATCATTCAACTCTATAGTAATTTCATTAAACTCATCGACCGTAAATCATTGTTTTGAAAAGTTCGATCTTATATCAATCAAGGCATAGATAATATTAGATTTATTTATTAAGTGCATCAACGCACGTACAGAACAACGCCGATAAAACGATCGGTTTCAATTAACTTTCATGCACAGCGCGAATGATGACTTAATAACACAATTGATGAAAAAACGTATTAATTGCCATTCGATAAACCTTGTGCGCGATGATTTTTCGTAATTCCTCCTCGTAAAGCCGAACATTTGACATTCATCGATGCATTCGCTTCCTTAGCCACATTAAAATTCAATATTAAAGAGTTCGAACAACTAAGCGATTGTTCACTAAACGTAACATCCATATTGTTTTATCGAAGATTCGCGAGGGCCCGGTGATCGTGAAGATCGAGGACTTCCGCGGCCAGTCCAAGGAAACTTACAAATTCGTCGATCCGAAAATAATGTCCATCTCGCCGACCCACGGCCCGGTAAGCGGAGGCACCCGACTCAGCATAATCGGCAACTACATGAACGCGGGCAGTCGAATCCAAGCCTTCATCGACAAATTGCCCTGCGAGATCAATAATACCGAGCACGACGAGGTACTCTGCATTACGAGCGCGAGCGACCGCAAACGTAAGGGTCCGCTTTACATGTTCTTCGACAACTCCATGAGAGAGTACAATGGCTTCTTCGAGTACGTCGACGATCCCAAAATCGAGAGCGTGGAGAGTGGCGTTGGCGGTGGTCAGCTAAAGATCCCCAAGGGCATACCATCCGGGGGCATTAAGATCAATATAACGGGCACGAATCTTGGTTACATACAGAAGCCCGAAATGTACGTCTATTACGAGGGCAAGCAGTTCTTTTCGCAGGCCTGCGTCATCTTGAGCCAAACCAATATGGTCTGCAAGTCGCCGGAAATCGATGTGCCCGCGGGTGTGCTCGACGCCGAGAAGCCCCTTGCCCTGGAATACGGCTTCCGTATGGATAATGTCGCGAGGGTGCAGAATCTCACTCAGCAGAAGCTCCATCGGTTTTTGCTCTACCCCGATCCGGTATACGAAGTCTTCGACAAGGAGATCAAGGACTACAAGGTAAGCGATTCTTAATCAATATTAACACGCGTTTATATGTAGATAGTGAGAGTGAGAGTGAGGAGAGATATGTGCTTGAGGCCCATTGGCCATTATTCAGCGTATAATTTCACGTCAGCGCTAAACGTAATTATCAAAATCCGACTTATTTATAATTATTGCTAATAACGATCGTTCTCCCGTTGTCCTTATTAGAGCGACTATTTGACGATCAATGGACAGCACCTGGACAGAGCCTGCCAGGAATCGGACGTCGTTGTGAAGATCGGAGACAGCTTCTGTAACGTAACGTCGCTCTCGCGACAACAGCTGACCTGCCGACCACCATCGACTCAGCCTCCGGCCCTCGACTCTTTGGGCAATCCAAAGCCCGATCTACCGGAGGTCATCGTCACCGTCGGCGGTAATCTCGAATACAAGATCGGCAAGCTCAATTACTCCCCGTCCGCGGGCTTGAACAGTCCCTTATCCACGCCCGCGTTAATCGGCGTCATAACGGCAATAGTGATCCTGGTAATCGTCTTCATAGCCTTTCTCATAGCCTATCGGCGCAAGTCGACCGAGAGCAATCGAGTGCTCAAGAACATGCAGGAGCAGATGGATATTCTGGAGCTGCGCGTCGCCGCCGAGTGCAAAGAGGCCTTTGCCGAGCTCCAGACCGAGATGACCGACCTCACGGGTGACTTGACGAGCGGCGGAATTCCCTTCCTCGATTACAGAACTTACGCTATGAACATCCTATTCCCGTCGGACGACAATCACGTGGTGCTACAAAGAGAGAAGCCCGAGCTCGTGCGGAAGGAGAAGGGCTTGAGACTCTTTGGCCAGCTGATAATGAACAAGACCTTCCTCTTGCTCTTCGTGAGAACGCTCGAAAGCAATCGCTACTTCTCCATGAGAGACAGAGTCAACGTCGCGAGCCTTATTATGGTGACGCTGCAAAGCAAGATGGAATATTGTACGGATATTCTCAAGACTTTGCTCGCCGATTTGATAGAAAAGTGCATGGAGGGCAAAAGCCATCCCAAACTCCTGCTCCGAAGGTAATTTATTTCTTGCGCTGCTGCGTTATTGCTGTCGTTGTTGCTATTGCTACTACCACTACTACCACCACTACAACTACCACTACCACTATCACTACCATTACCACTATCACTATCACTACCATTAGCACTACCACTATCACTACCATTACCACTATCACTACCATTACCATTACCACTACCACTACCACTACTACCAATAACAATACTATTTGGACGTTCTATTACGATTACTCCACACTGTCCGCTCGACACTTTATTAAATTAAGGTCTAGATAATATTTTTCACATTTTTCCTTTTTCTTTTTTCTTTTTTCTTTTTTCTTTTTTTGTTTTGTTTTGAATTCTAACAGCGCGGTAATAGCGATACCAATAATAAAAATTGCCGTAATAGTAATGGAAAGTAGCTCACGTAAGGATGTATGCGTTTTGCATTTTAGAACTGAAAGTGTTGCCGAGAAAATGCTGACCGCCTGGTTCACTTTCCTGCTTTACAAGTTTATGCGAGAATGCGCCGGCGAGCCATTGTATCTGCTGTTCCGTGCCATGAAGCAACAAGTGGACAAAGGACCGGTCGATGCTATTACCTCGGAAGCCAGATATTCGCTTTCGGAGGAGAAACTCATAAGACAGTCGATTGACTTTAAAGCGATGGTACGTACTCTCTTATCGCTCACCCTCCGATTATCCTGCTTGAATGCTCCTTTGTAATTGCGCGATTCATTTGCTTAGACGGTGTACGTGTCCATCTCGCAACAGACAGTCTTTGTCGGCGGCATGGATCCAAATACGGAGAATGTACCAGTTAAAGTTTTAGATTGTGATACCATATCTCAAGTGAAGGAGAAAGCGCTGGATACCATATACCGATCCACGCCCTATAGTCAAAGGCCGAGAAAGGACGATCTTGATCTTGGTAAGTAGTATATTAAGACGAATTGAGAGCAACGCGCTCTCATCAATGTCGGCAACCTGTTAAAGTTTCGATCGTCGTTATTAAAAAATACGGCTATTACTCTTTAATGATTACACAATAATATTTGATAAGCCCTTTAATCCTCTATTTAATCCCATAGCACGTTAAGGTGCGTTCCTAGCCTTAAATACTAAAGGCCCGCGACATGTCCTTATTCGTAGAATGGAGAACGGGAGCTTCGGGTAGGCTGATCTTATACGACGAGGATTCGACGACGAAGACCGAGGCCGACTGGAAGAAACGCAACACTCTGAATCATTATCGCGTGCCAGACGGGGCCTCGCTCAACTTGGTCTCCAAGCAATCTTCCATTTACAATCTCTCGATCCTGTCCGAGAAGACGGACAAGTCGCACAAGTACGAGACCTTAAATCTCAGCAAATTCAGCTCGGCAAGTCCACCGCTGTCACGCGCCACCTCGCCTCTCAATCACGACCACGACGGTGGCCTCAAGGTTTGGCACCTCGTCAAGCACCACGACACCGACGTTCAGAAAGAAGGCGAGCGCGGCAACAAAATGGTATCGGAAATTTATCTCACGAGGCTCTTGGCGACCAAGGGCACGTTGCAGAAATTCGTCGACGATCTCTTCGAAACGATATTCAGTACGGCGCATCGCGGTTCCGCTTTGCCGCTGGCCATCAAATACATGTTTGACTTCCTCGACGATCAAGCACTGCATCATCAGATTACCGATCCCGAGGTCGTGCACACGTGGAAAAGCAATTTGCTGCCGCTCAGGTTCTGGGTGAATCTAATCAAGAATCCGAATTTCATATTCGATATCCACAAGTCCAATATCGTCGACTCCTGCTTCTCGGTCGTCGCGCAGACTTTCATGGACAGCTGCTCCACGTCCGATCACAGATTGGGTAAGTCCAACATTTTTATGAGAATTCGATTCTCCCGAACGACAATAGCGTCGCTCGCGCGAACATTTCCCCATATGGCCCGCATTATTAATTAACGGCTGACATTTGGCATTGTCCTTTCAATCTCGCAGGCAAAGACTCGCCAAGTTCGAAGCTTCTCTATGCCAAGGACATTCCAGTGTATAAAGAGTGGGTAGAGCGCTACTATTCGGACATTAAAATTATGCAAGCCATATCTGACCAGGACATGAACGCAATGCTCGCCGAAGAATCAAGAGTAAGTAAAATAATTATGACGAAAGCGTAGAGAAACGAACTACATTACACTTGGTAGAGCGTTACGGTGGAGCGTTAACATTTTGATCGTTAGCGACTTTGTTGATAAGCTCGCGAGCACAAAATTCAATGAAAATATAATAATCGCGGCAGGCTCTAACGACGAAATCAATTTTCTTATTTTCTTATTTTCTTATTTTCTTATTTTCCAGCTGCACACAAACGAATTTAACACAAACTGCGCTTTGTACGAGCTGTACACCTACGCGAGCAAGTACAATGAGCAGCTGACGGTAACCCTGGAAGAGGACGAGTTCTCGACGAAGCAGAGGCTCGCCTACAAGCTCGAGCAGGTGCACAACATAATGGCCGCCGACGGCAATCCCTGATGTCCCGTTTACACGAGCAAGCACTCGAACAAATCCGCGCACAACGAACTGGCCTGCTGAGGCCCGAGGAGCTCGACGGTGGCCGGCAATGACGCAGCCGCCGCCGTCGACGATTACTGGGACGGCTTCGGGATACTCGACGCCGAGCACCAGTATCTCCTCGCCTCGCCACCGGCACCGCCGCCACCACCACCACCCGCGAGGCTGCGCGGAATCCACGCAAACGAGTGCCAGCCGTAATAGCGCATAATTATGCATCACCTACCCTCCCTCCCTCCCGCTTCCTTATCCTTCTCCTCCTCCTCCTTCTCCCTCCTCCCTCCTCCTCCCCCGCCGTGCGAGAGGGTCGCCGAGAGGTGCCGTGAGAGTCCTTTTCGCTGGTGCGAGTGAGAAGCCGCTAGCTTGGAGTTGGTGCACTGCGAGTCGAGTGCATACGAGCGAGTGTGTAAATAGCGGGGAGAGAGCGCGAGTCTTAATTATTATTGTATTTAGGTTTATCAAGGGTGGGGAGGGGAGGGGGATTGGCTTGTGGATACGCGCGCGTGTCGCGCGCAAAGGTGCGCGAGAGAGCGCGAGGTCGAGGTAGTCGGCCGTTGCTTACGATTTTTGGATTTGCCTTTTGTATCGAAGGAGCAAACTTTCTTGCGCCGAACGCGCACGAGTTGACGAATAATATATGTACGATCATTCCGCTCGGTTATTGCTGACGTGGTGCACCGTTAGCCCGGCATGGATCGTGGATGGTTCGTGGATGGTTCGCGGATGGTTCGACCAGCTTAGCAATACAAGTAAACGAGAGATCCTATAAGATTTCCATTCTTTTCTTAACTCATGAATACGTACTCTCCAAGAGTAATTTTTTGTATTATTTTATTGTACAAATTTTGTAAAGTCTTTTTTATGGAAATATCGCGCATTGATTTTTATTCGTTTTATTTTATATCGCGTGTGAAACTAATGTTAAGTTCGTTTATAAAGAAGCGTTAATAAGAAATTGAGCAGACTGATCGGTTATATCTTGGTTCGGAAACATTTGTATATTTGTGCAAGCCACTGCCAAAACGGCTCCGATCAATCGGAATCACGTGAGAATAACTGGCTTGAAATTTCTTAAAACGAATACACATCTCCATCCACTGAAATGTTTGAATAAAGTGAGGAAATAATAATAATTAAAAGAATATGATCGTCGTGATAAGAAAAGTAAATAGATTTATAAGCCATCGATAATCGCTATTGTCTTGATCGACCGCTCGATGCGGGAATATCATTATTATTATTATTATGATTATTATTATTATTATTATCGTCGTCGTCGTCGTCGTCGTCGTCGTCGGCGTCGTCGTCGTCGTCGTCTTCTTCAATATTTCTATTATTACTACGATTAATACTATTACGATTATTATTATTATTATTATTATTATTATTATTATTATTAATAGTAGTAGTAGTATCATCATCATTACGATTATTATTATTTTATCATTTTTATTATCAATTAATTGATCGATTACTATTATATACATGGATGGTATGTCATTATGTATATGTGTACATATATACACACTTATTACACGGACGCGACACGTGTGTATGTATATATATCTTAGGCTAGAAAATATCATCGATGTTTAAAAGAAAAAAAAATAATAAAGGAGACAAAGCCTCTCCCGCCCTTCTCCCATTTTTTACGACATAGCAAGAATTTGTTTTTCTTTTTTAAAAAGAACAGGACTGGCTTCTTAAGTCGCGGAGAGATACGTTTTTATATCAAGTTACGTATGCATATATATATATATATATATATACATATATATATATATATATATATATATATATATATATACATATATATATGCAAGTACAATGAATCGAGGACGCGATGTTAGTTTATACGGAAGAGAGAAAAAAATATTGCGACTCTTTTCCATTGCAAATCTAATGCTAAAGATAAATATACATGTGTATATGCAAATGTCATTTACGTTTCATTTCGAATAACAAGATTATGGGATGACATTTTAAACGTTAAAAGCAAATTAGACGCGTAAATGACTTTTCATTAGTTAGGATAATTGTTCTCCAAGACACACGGGCTTTTATAAAGCCAGTCGCTGTCTCTCGAGCATTCCGTGTAAAATGACAAAACTAGAAGTATTTTCGCGAGTCGTGGGAGACGGAAAGGGAAAAGCCATGATAAAAGAAAGACGTCAAAATGATGAAGGGGTTTCGCAAGAGAAGGATCATTAATTATATAAGCGTGAGGCAAGCGCAATTTTTCGACAACAGACTGTGTATTAGCTAGTAGGATTAACTTTACGATTAATTATGAAAAAAAATTAAAATAAAACTATCTGGACTATGGCCGTGGCCGTCACGTGGCCGGCTCGATGTGATGGTTGTGTTGAGTGTTTCGCGTATTTCCTCGTCAGCCCTTTCGGTCTCTCCGTCTAATAGAGTCACTTTGCCATTTTTGTAAACTTCAAGCGAATCGTGCCTGACGTCGAGGTCAGTTAAATTTATTCGACCACGAAAATCATTAAATTTTTTAATACTATTCCATTTTTATTCTTTCATCTTTTAACGCCAATCTAGCAATGTATTTATTTATTGGAATTTACTTTTAATAGGAATGGTAAGAATTTTTACCATTTTGTTGTTTTAGACGAAAAAACGAGCACTTATTTTGTATTGAAGAAATCTATTATTAGAGCGTTGAATATCAATCGATCAGGAGTCGTAAATTTAATTTTTACACGCATTCAAAATTAGTGCGCATAATTATATAAACATAAGAGGGCGTCCTATTATTAAAATGAAAACAAAAAATAACAAAAACAAAAAACAACCAAAAAAAAACAGGACTCTTAAACCAAGTTTATATTTTGTTGTAAGTTTTCCTTTCATTTTCAATCCTCAACGCTTCCTTTTTTCGTATGCTAAAATTGTCCGAATGAAAAACGAAGATACTCAAATAAAATTAATAATTTTAGTTCACATCCACAGTTGTGGTTGCGAGTGTATGTGTGCGCGTATTCGTGCGCACTAAAAATACAAGCTTTTAATAAATATTTTTAATGCAATCAGTCATTTTTCGATTATGAAATAAATATTAAATTGATATTTTTAATAGATTCTTAAACGTATGATCGCGTGAAGATTATTTTACAAAAAAAAAAAAGAAAAAGAAAAAATTTTTAACTTTAATAAAGCATAATTCTCGTTTTAACGAAGCGACTTGACTCGATATTAATAAAACATGACCTCGGTGTACGATTCGTCGGAATGACTTTGGACTTTACATTATAAGTTCAGAAGCATCTTTGCGCGTGTGTTGTCAATCACCGACTAATTTCATGATTGTTATCGTCATTTTCTCATCCTAAGAGTCACCATTCACGCATCACCATCTTATCGTCGTCGTGTCATCATCGTCATTATTCGCTGTCATTGTGTCTACACACCGCCATAAAAGTTCTCGAATCGAAGTAAAATAAGGGCCTTCGACTCATAATCTTTAAGCTCCTACAAAACGTTCTTGTCCTCCTTTATATTCCTAATTATTCTGATAGAACGAAACAAAATAACGAGTCCACTCTCCACCAGTCCCAAATCCTTTCTGTAATCGAACTATCGAACTCTAAAATCCTTTTATAGGTATTCAGCTTCAACGCCTCCGTCGTCATGTTGTTGTCACTCTTAATTATTAATAACTGTAATATATATATAACGAAAAAATATCGATCACTGTTGAGTATTGTCTGATTGTAATAACATTGATATTGAATCGATATGAATTGATAATCATTAACTAAACGTCGACATTACTTCATGGATGTATTAATAAGAAAAAAAAAATTTTTTTGGTGTGGTGTGTCTCGCTGTGCGATCAAGTGATTTTATAATTGTTTGGCTACGGGTGTACGATAAGGCGTGTCTTGAAATTTAAAAAATTTATCATCTTGTGCTTCTTAAGCCGAATGCACTGCACAAAAGCTCAGATACTGCCAAAAGCTTATGTTTATCAAGCTTTTACAATTTAGAATAATTCCAGCCTGTTTATCAAAATTTTTTTTTTGCCCCCCCCCCTCCCCCCGTCAACTTCGATGATTTAACTACAATTTTATATGCATGATTTATTCGCATTTATTGAAGATGATAAATTTTTTTTAAGTTCGAAGGCCAATTAAATTTCTTTACGAGTACGCAAGCCAGATGCGCGTAAATGCGTGCCTGTGCACTGTTAAGAACATTCTGAAATGTCCTGCGCGTCAATTGAATGTACAATTTCTGCAGTGAAGAAAGTATTTATTGCTCAGAAACTAACGAATAAAAAATCGCTAGTAGAAAGAGAGGACATGAATTTTATGTGTACGCGTCACCATTATAGAATGAGAGAATATGCGGAACGTAAGCGAAATTATTTGTATGCGAATGAGAGAAAAATCTGCAAGCAACTGCCAGATTGTGAAATTCGACGTTTTATATGAATTTTTCTTTTTTGTAAGACACTTTTCGTCCTGTTTCATATATAAAAAGAAAGAAAAATGTTTCATTCTAACACTCATTATTTTTTTTCTTAATGAAGCCTCGAACACTTAAATCTTAAAATATCTTATCATTACTTTTAGAATATCATCATTCCTTTATGTCACTTACGATTCTTTTTATTTTATTTTATTTTTATTTTCAATTTCGTCCTTTTATCATTTACAGCATATAAAAGATGAGCTGGCAACGAGCTTGAATGGGAAAATTGGCACAACAAGGGGCCGATACAAGCGTAAACGTGGACATATGAAAAATAGGAATACATATTTAATTTGGAGATTTATAATGAAATGATGTGTTAAGGTAAAAGGCAGACAGGGTCGCATAAAAGCGGAGATTCACTTAAAAGAGGTGAAAGAGCACAAAAAAGATTTTAACAACGCCTCGAAAATTCATTGTTCTCCGAGTATAGAACAACTTTTAATGGTACTAATAAACCCAAAGTGCCTCTAGTAGATTTTTTTTTTTTTTTTTTTTTTTGGCATAAGATTGAGTATTAAAAAAAAATTGATTAATAAAAATTTATAATAATCGATAAGTGAGAATGAAGATAAATGGAAGAAATAATAATGACATAGGAAGTGAAATAAAAAGAAGCGAAAGATAATATTTGAAA